GGGTGATAGGTCTACAACTTTGCATATATCCTAAAATCACTTGACCATTTAATCGCACACTTTAAACGGGTGAATTTCCTATCACAGGCCTGATACCTCGATCAAGCTTTTATTTTAAAAATTCACCCTCTGCAAGGTAGCGGGAGTGGGGAGGGGCCAGTGGGTACCGAGGCTTGAAGCCAAGTAATGAGGTTTGGAATTGGTGGCAGTGGGCGTGTAATAGGATTGCTGAGCAGCGAGCGAGGGCACCCCTGTCTGAGACACAAAGCCACAAAATTGTAATGGCACCCATCTGCACGGTCTCGTTCCCCGTGAGCATCTTGCAGTCAATGGGATGCAAGCTCAGAGGCCCCAGGTGTGAGAGGAAGGTCCCCAGGGTGGAGGCAGGGGGACAGCTTTCAGTAGAGAGAGCGAGGGGATACCTGCTGTTCCCTCCTGCCCACATCCCAAACACTCCGGCTTTCACACCCCCAAAAGGAAAAAAAAAAAAAAAAAAACCACACGGAGGACTTGGCTTGCTGTTTCTCAAGTCGAATTTTTGGAACTAAAATATCTACTAAACCTGCTGCCTTAAGCATCAGTCAGGGGGAAAGAAGAAAGAAAGAAAGGAAGGAAGGCATTTTCCTGGTAATTAAATCTGAATTATTCACAACCTGTTAGACACTTTTTTCCCTCCTGTGATGGAGAAGCATACACGTCCACTTCTTCCCTGAGTCCTTTGCAGTCAAAGTTGAATTGGAGGCTGAGAGCCACAGCTTTGGACCTGAGCCAGGGGCCCAGGCCATGCCCTCACCTGGGTCCCCAACAGACCCATCCCCAACTCACCCCCCCCCGCCACTCCGAGGGGCTGCTTTTACCGAATGCTTTATTCCTGCCCCCCCTCTCCATGAATTCCCCCCAAGGCTTGTATATCATGAGGGTTCTTCGAATTGTCACAAGTGGCCTAGTTTCAACCAACTGCGGCAAATCGGGGAATTTATTGACCAAAGTAACTAAACCTTGGAAAGACTAGGAAGCAGCTGCCTTCGGGGACAATAAAACCAAGAACCCGGGGACTCCTGCTTGGGCCGTGGTGACGCCCGCCCTCCCACTCCCCGCCACACTCCACTTCCTCTCTCTCTTTTTCTCAGATCTGTTTTCTCCATGAAGCCGGAGACGTGGCCACCCCCGTGATGGGCAAGCTCGCCTCTGTCTTACAGCTCTAACTCCCAAAGTCTCCAGGGCAGTTCTGATCTTGGCTCAGGTCACATGCCTTTAGTGATTGGCAGTCCCCGTGAAAGTCCTATTGTTGGAATGGAAGCAGGAGGGGCTCCCCACTCAACAAGGAAAGCCATGTTCCCAGTCAGAAAGGAGCTGAGGTCAAACAAAGCTTCAGATGTCCAGGGCAGCCAGATTCCCACAGTCTAGTGGGAGGAGATTAAGGTCTGGAGCCAGGACATTTGGGTTTGAATGCAGCTAGGTCATTGAAAAGGTCATTCACGACTATGTGCTAAATAAAACTCTTTTTAAAATATCTGGCTTCAGGTATTTTGTGATAGCTACAGAAAACAGACTAACACCATGGGGAAGGTTTCTGATTCATCTTTGTAATCCTCTCCTTCTGTGATCTTGGGATCAGTCTCCCTGTCTATAAAATAGGTCTCACCATAAAGGATACAAAGGAAAATTCCATCTCTTGATAGGAAGAGCTACAAAATATGTAATCGATCTCAAACCCTAAGTGGAAGTAGCCAGAAGGGCATGCTTCCGGTTATGGGTGGGGGACTTGGGTAGGAAGGAGCAATGGGGTATTCCATGGAACTAGGAAGAGGTGGACAGTGACATCTGGAGTTGTTGACCTCTAAGTTCCAGACAGGAAAACGAGTAGGAATTGACCCGACGAAAGAAGGAAGGGGAATGTTCTAGGCAGAGGTAATAGCATGCAAAGAAAGCAAAAGTGAGGAAAATCGTGCACTCAGGGAGAGAACTTAAAGTAGTTCAATGCAACCAGGGCATGCAATGCAGATGGTGCCGTAGGATGGTAGCAACTGGGGCTGAGCCGTGAGCAGGGACGCCACTACCACAGCCACCACCCCAGCCGGGAGCTCTCTGGGCTTCACAGCAAAAAGCGACAGGGAGTCGCAGATAGTTTTAAGCAAGAAAGGAGTGTGCTCCAATTTGCAACATCTGCAAATGAAGCACATTTGTACCTCCTTTAGACTACCTCCCATGAAAACTGCAGACAACAGTGAGTGTTGGCAAGAACACGGAGCAACTGGAACTCAGATGCTGCTAGTACGATTGCAGAGTGGTCGGATCCACCTTGGCAAACAACTTGGCGGTTTCTTACAGAGTTAAACACACTGACCACGTGACCCAGCAATCCCACTCCTGTAGGTTCACCCAAGGAGAACGAAAACTTATGTTCGCACAAAAACCTATTCACAAGTGTTTCTAGCAGATCTGTTCCAAATCACCCCGCACCGGAAACAACAACCCAAATGTCCTTCGAGCTGGTGAATGGCTAAGAAGCAAACTGGGGATCATTCACGTCATGGCGTGTGAATCAGCAATGAAGAAATAGAGAGAGAGAGAGGGATAAACTACGGATACACACAGGAACTTGAATGAATTTCCAAATGAAATATTGCTAAATGCAGAAGCCAGACTCAAAAAGTTCATCTACAGTATGATTTCACTGATAAGCCATCTGGAAAAGATGACCCTGGGGGGGGGGGGAGAAGAGGCACCAGGGGCTGCCAGGGGTGAGGGCTGACTGTAAACTGGCGTCGTGAAGGGATCTGGGGTGATGGTGGAATTACTCTGTGTCCTGATTTTGGTGATGGTTTCATGGCTTAGATGCCGTTGTCAAGACTCATCTGTCTGTTCCACCGGAAGAGTGAGGACTGACACCTGGAATTCTCAAAAAACTAAGTTTTAGTTATTGTGTACTGGACAGGTCACTCCGACGGCACCAGATGGACCAGAGAGGGCCGTGACCAGACTCCGAGAAGCCACTTGAGAACCGGCAGTGAGCATCTAAGTCAGTGGAGGTGTCCTGAAATAGGCGGTGGCGGCGATGGAGAGAAGCAGGCTCATGTAAGCAATATTTAAGAGGAGGACTCCATCGGATTTGGGGACCTGGCCGGGAGACTGTGGATTAGAAGGCCAGGAAGCCAAGGAGATGACGGATTTAGAGGCCTGGAGGGAGAGTCATGGAAACGAGGGGCTATGGGTCCAGCTAGAAAGGAGGCCACTTGGGAGGGACGGAAGGGCGGGCAGGGCTAAAAGGTCACACAGAAGGTATATCGGGAGGGATTTGGTAGAGTAGTTGGCAGGACAGAGAGGTCACCAAACTAGGCCACTGGAGTTTGAGCTTTCAGAGCTAGAACAAAGTGCAAGAAAGAAGGCGAGCCAGGCTGACTTTCCGTTGGTGGTACCCTCTGTGACAGGGAGATTTTTGTCTTGTATTTTGAGACGGGGTCTGGCTACGTTGACCAGAGTGGCCTCAAGCTTTTCATCCTCCTGCCTCAGCTCCCGAGGAGCTAGGATCCTTGTCCTAGCTTGTGCCCAGCTTGATGGTGCGATATCTGAGGGGGTGTTCTCCGGTTTGGGTGTGGTGTGTCACCTAAGGGTTCAGGTGTTGGAGGCTTGGTCCTCAGTATGGTGATGTCGGCAGGTAGACCTTCAAAAGGTGGGACCTACGGGGAGACCATTAGACCCCTGGGGGCATCACCCTTGGAGGGGACTAAGTAGTTCTTGTGGGGCTCCATTTAGTTCCCTACAGAGTAGGTGGCTGTGAAAGAGTAAGACAGCCTTCCTGTCGTGCCATGTTCTCTCTCCTCTCTTTCACTCTCTCTTTTTTTTTCTCTCTCTCTCTGTCTCCTCTCTTTTCAATGTCATCTACCATGAAGTGACATAGACAAAAAGGCCCTCACCAGAGGCTACCCCACGGTGCACTTTCCGCCTTCAAAACTCTGTGCTAAATAAAACTCTTTTCAAAATCAAATATCTGGCTTCAGGTATTTCGTGATAGCAACAGAAAACGGACTAACACCATGGGGAAGGTTTCTGATTCATCTCTGTACTCCTCTCCTTCGAGGTGTTCAGCCCCTAGCTCAGAGGTTGATAGCCTTGGATACAGCCCCTGAGGAGCTTGGAAAAATCCTCCAGCCAGGCTCGGTAGCACGCCCTGGTAGTACCATTTACTTGGGAGGCTGAATCAGGAGGATTTTTCTTGAGCTCGAGGCCAGTCTGGGCAAAATGCTTACGACCCCATCTCAAACAACACAAAACAACAACAAAAAAATACCCCCAGGCTTCTTTGGCTGCACCCCAGTCAATTACATCCAAACCTCAGCGGATGGGACCTAGACTGTAATTCTTCTTAAACTCCCCTAGTGCGGCCATGTTGGATAATCACTGATCTAACTCATTGCTTATTGAAGAGTCCTCGGCCCTGACTGCTTAGAATCACCTGGGGAGTTTTAAAACCTGTTTTTAAAATTGACGTCAAGGAGTCACCCCGCAAGGATTTGGCCTCACTTGCTCTGCAGTGAGGTACCTGTGTCTATATGTTTAAAAAGCTCTTTGGGTGTTTTAATGGGCAGCCAAGGGTGGAGGGTCCCCAGCCTGGCCCCTGGAAAGCATTTGGACAATGCCTGGCGTGACTTCCCTCTGTATTTACAGCCCTCTACCTCCTCTGGGCCATGGGCCTGTCAACCTAATGACCTAATGTTTGGAGGAGTGAGGGGGATGGTAAGCTCATAACTCAAGGTTCAAAGATCTGGGAAACCCAGCTGGGGGTCATCGGTGGTTGGACTGATGGACAAAAAAAAAAAAAAAAAGCAGAGAAATGGTTTTCAGGGAAGGGATTTCAGCCTCGTTAAATCACAGACACTTTGTACGTGCTCCAAATAAATGGCAGTGGAAAGAAATGGATGAACCGGAGGAGGCTCCAGAGCCATCCGTGTGCAGAGGTTAATTAGGCTACATGAAGAAAGTGAGCGACATCTGCTTACCTGGGGGCCCTCTGGGGATTCTCCAGCCACACCGGCCATCTCATCGGTCCTCAGAGCTGGTGTACCTGCGGTCCCTTCGCCTGGATCACTCTCTCCCCAGATATTCGTCGGCATGGCTCAGCAAAGTCAGTCTCACACTCCTGACTCCCTGCAGCTCTTCCTGCTGCAAGGTTAGTATGTCCCCCCAAGCTCCTGGGTTAACCCAGGAATGTTCGGAAGTGCCACGTTTAGATGATTAGAGCTACAACACATTGCTCAGTGGAATAATCCATCTGATGGTTTAGTGACTCGAAATGATTATTAGCTGGTAACTGTAGGCAGGTGGGGTGTGGCTGGAGGAAGAAGGTCACTGAGAATTATATCCTGGGGGATTATATCTTGTCCCCCTGCTCTCTCTCTCTCTCTCTCTCTCTCTCTCTCTCTCTCTCTCTCTCTCTCTCTCTCTCTCTCTTTCCCATCTGCCATGAATTGAGCAGCTTCCCTCCACACCACACCCTTCTGCTGCTGCACTGAGGCCCAGAGCCATGGAGTCGGCCAACATGGACGGCACCTCGGAAAACGGAAACCAAAATAAGATTTTCCTCCTTTACATTGTTCTTGTCAGGTATTTTTGTCCCAGTGACAAACATATGACTAACGCAGAACATTGGATCAGAAATGGGACGATGGCGGTGACAAACTTCACCATATGGTTCAGAAGACTTTGGAACTGGTTTGCAGGAGAAGTTTGGGAAGATTTGGAGACGCCAGGCTGGAGAAGCCTTGGAAAATGGGGTATGCCAAGCATCATGGGTGATTCTGGTGGGAGCTGAGAAGACCAGGATGATGGGCTGGGGACGTGGCTCAAGCGGTAGTGCGCTCACCTGGCATGCGTGTGGCCCGGGTTCGATCCTCAGCACCACATACAAAGATGTTGTGTATGTTGTGTGACCAGGATGATGACGATAGGACTGCAGACAGTAAAGACTGTGCTCATGAGGTTTCCAGAGGGAACGAGGATTCTTTTGGGGATTGGACTAGAGGCCATTCATGTCGCCACCACCTGGCAAAGAATTTTTCTATTTTTTTTTTTGGTCCATATCCTGAGACTTTCTATGGGGCTGAATATAAACAGCACAGCATTTAGGCACGGGAGGTGGGTTTCGATGTCAGCTTTTAGCCAGGTATAGCGTGATAATTAGGAGCAGAAAGCAGAGCAGAAGGATTTGGAAAACTTGCAGTTTGGCCAGAAGAGTGCCTGTAAAATTGGAGCCAAGAAAGGTGTGGTTGTTGAAGAGATTGCTTCCACTCATGCCAACGGGAAGCTAAGTATTTTGCACAGAGACAATAGGAAAGATGCCTTAAGGGAATCTCAGGACTCAGCCAAAAAAAAAAATGTACCCATTGCATGCACAGTGGTGTAGAAGTGAAAAGTAATTTAAGAGAACTTTGGGGTGCTCTGCTCAAATAGGGGTGCTCGGGAAGCTAATTGCCATGGATTTATTTCACGGTGCTCAGTAACCCAGGCACTCAGAGGCCATGATCTAAGTGGACCCAGCTACTGCTGGAGCGGGTGGCCGACATTGGCATCATCCTCAGAGTGTAGAAATTCAGGATGTCGGAGTCAAAGGGTCACGGAGCCTTCCGCCAAGATTTCAAAGGAAGGCTGGGAGGCCAGGCAAAGTGCAGGCCCCGAGAGGGTGATGCATAAAGTCATGGAAAGGAAGCCAACGTCAGAGTGGAGGCCCCCAGATGAAGAGATACCAGTAACATCTGCCAAGGACAGTTGCTAGCTACAAAGAGCCAGCCCAAGAGACCCTGAGAACTACAACCAGCAAGGCCGTCGGGGCAGGGATGTCCAAGCACGGTGGAGCTCACAACTGGCCATTACGTGCCCCCCCAACCCCGATGCTGGATGTGGAGCTACAGGACCGAACGTTTGCCCCGCTGGGTTTCAGTCTGATTTCGGTCCCATCTCTTCTTTCCATGCCCCTATTTCTCCATTCCGGAATGGAAATGTTTATTTTATGTCACTGGATATTGGATATACGTCACGTGCTTTTGATGTTTACAGGGTCTCGGAGCAGGGTTCGCCTGGAGTCTCAGAGTCTTTCCACTTGGACGTTTGAGCCCTGCAGGAACTGGGAAGGGGCTCTTGGACGTGGGCTAAAAGCATTTTGCCTTGTGAGATGGGCATGACGATTATGACATCCACATTCCTTCTCTATGAATTCTTAGAAGTGATCTAGAGATGATTTAAAGTGTAAGGGAGAATTGTGTAACCTAGGCACAAATGCTATCCCATTTTCTATAAGAGACTTAAACATTCATGGATTCTGGTATCTGAGGAGTCCTGGAATCAATTCCCCACAGATACAGAGGGATGACTGTATTTTTTTTATATAAATTTTGTCTATTAAGTGTTTCTCCACTAGCCATAACCCCCATGCCAACAGGGATTTTTGTCTGACTTGTTCCCAGGCATGTTCTTGAGCCTAGAACAGTGCCTGAAAGACAGTAGGCCCCCCAATCAAAGAATAAAGACATGAAGCAGTGCAAAATTCAGACTGAGTCCAGATGTTATAACCCAATAGGCCCCGGGTAGGATCCAGAAATGGACATGTCCACCAGGTGGTTCTAAAGGAGATGGTCAAAGGCCACACAATAGTAGACACATTTCTTAGCAAAGGGGTTTTTTTGCCTGGATACAACTCTCTTGGCATCTGGGTAGCAAGCAGGAAGCTGAGGACCAAGGGGCTCAGGATCCTGGCCAACTTCACTGGATTCTCTCCTGCACAGAAAACACATCTCACATCAGGTGATTTGGCAGAGGCAGTAAGTGTGCATGGGAGGCAGGTGTGTGGGTGGCCAGTTCCTTGGAGGACTCCTCTCTGTGACAGTCTAACTACACTCTGGGCAAAGTCCCATGTGGAAGAGCGGCTAAGCCTCCCGTGGGAACAAGCCTTTGCCAAGTCGGAATCGGAGCTTGACAGGGAATCGAGGTGGCACCTCACCGCAACACTCCGCTTGGCCAAAGTCCTGCCTGACAGCCACGTTCGCTGGTGACAGCAACAACGGGCTCTGGGAGGTGGGGGAGGAGCGCGCAGGCTCAGCAGGCCTATCCCTATGAATGTTTATGATATCACACCGATATCAGGAATGTAGCACGCAGTGGACAAATAATAATATAAGGGGTAAAATGCTCTTCATTTTAAATGGCACCTAGCCAAGGGATTCTTGTACAAGAACTCCTTGATGAATTTTGCTGAGCCCTTGCGCTGCAAAAAAAAATAAATAAAATAATATATATGTATAAATACATTTGTACATGTGTATATATGAATGGAATTTTCCATTTCATATGTTATGGATCACAATTCGCTGTGAATAACTGAAACCGCAGAAAGTGAAACCAAGATATATTTATATACTTCAAAACACAGGTAATAGTAAAAGGTGAAATTATTAGGAAATGATGCCTTTTAAGTATTAACTTTTAAAACAGAATGTAGCTCATCATACGTTTATATCATTTAACTTTTTATGAATGGCTGTTTAATAGCCAACGTGCAAAAAAATTTAACAATTATCTCTGCAAAACCAGCCCTAGCACAACACTGGGCAGATTCCAGCCTTGGGAAAGAACTCATTCACACATTGGGAGAATCCAAGTTTTCCTTACTTGCAGGTTGATGTTAGCCTTCCATTGCTGTAACAAAGTACCTGAGGAAATCAACTTAAAGAAGGAAAGATTTACTTTGGATCACAGTTTCAGGGATTTCTGTCCATGGCCATTCTGAGGCTCTGGTGCATAGAACACCATGGCAGAGAGCATGTGGTGGAGCAAAGCTGCTCACCTCGTGGTGGCCAGGATGGAGAGAGAGAGAGAGAGAGAGAGAGAGAGAGAGAGAGAGAGAGAGAGAGAGAGAGAGAGAGAGCTGGGGCAAGATTCACCCTTCAAGGACATGCCCCCAATGAACTATCTCCTCCAACTAAGCTCTACCTGTTAAGGTTTCCACTCCCTCCCAACAGCACCACCCTCTGGGGACAAGCTTTCACCCCAGGAGCCTTTGGGAGACATTCCAGAGTCAAATTAATCAATGACCAAGGCAGGCTCACCTCAGTGCACAGATACGGGGATTGGCAAATGGTGAGGTATTCAAACTGCATATTCCTAGACACGCACAGTGTCACAAGCCTATAATCCCAGAGGCTCAGGAGGCTGAGGCAGGAGGATCACAGATTCAAAGCCAGCCTCAGCAACAGTGAGGCCCTAAGCAACTCAGTGAGACCCTGTCTCTAAATAAAATACAAAACAGGGCTGGGGATGGGGCTCAGTGGTGGAGTGTGCCTGAGTTCAATCCCCAGTACCCAAAGCCATATTCCTTTCATTCTATTTCTCACCCTTTTCATTGTTCCTACGTTTAGATCATAGTCTCAGAATCAGGGGTCCCAAGATGGGGTTCAAACATCAGTGGACGAGTAAGAAGGGAGGTTTTATTCCACAGGAGACGGGTTTTCTTTAGGTGATATGGGAAGGAACCCTGGATAAATTGGCTGCATTCCAAAGAGATTTTCAGGGACAAAAAACCACCATTTTATTCTAAAGTTCAGATTTTTCTCAGGAGCATCCAGTGAGTAGTACAGACTTTGGAAAGAGAAACTCAGACACAAAACTGAAGGAAACCATCTTGACAGACAGGTTTTAATGATGCAAGTCAAGACCAGAAGGAGGAGAGTGAGAGAGGAAGGTGGAGGGCCTTTGTGTCTGCCAACAGCTCTGCCCAGGCCAAGGAGAAAGAAACCCACAGATCCAGCCAATTCCACTTGAAATACGAGCAGGAAACAACATTGTTCTTGGGGGTGCAGCATCCAGAGACGGGGGGGACGGGCTGATTTAAACAGGTTCTTGGCGCTGGAGATGTGGCTCAAGCGATAGCTCGCTCGCCTGGCATGCGTGCGGCCCGGGTTCGATCCTCAGCACCACATACAGACAAAGGTGTTGTGTCTGCCGAGAACTAAAAAATAAATATGAAAAAAATAAAAAAATAAACAGGTTCTCTTCCAGCCCCCTGTTACCACAATCCTAGGCCAGAAGCCTGACTCTGGGGAGATCCATCGATTCAGGTCCTTCATTCACCCCAAAATCCAAATAGAAAAGGGAGTGGTAAAGAGTATGCAAGGAACTTTCATATTGTAGCTACACCAGGAAACCCAGGGGACCCAGGTCCTTAGCCCTGTCTTTGAGGGGCGGACAGACCCCTGTCCTGGGATTTTACAGAATGAGAAATGGGTGCAAGGGTTGGGGGAGGGGGTTGCAAAGCTGGAGGCTTTTCCCAGCTGCCAAAGCAGGTGATGTTGCTGGGGTCCCGTCTGTCCATCATCATCTCAGGATTGGC